CAGAAGTTTGAGGTTGCTGTGAGCTTTGACACTACAGCACTCTAGCCTGAACAACAGAATGAGACTCTATCTCAAAAAAATTCCCCAAAACAAAGAAACTGGGAATTGAAATAAAATAATTGCAAATTATGACAAGTGCAAAGACAGGAACAAGGTACTGAAATATAAAACAAAAAAAGCCCTTTTACCAATAGGGTAAAGAAGTCCTCTTTGCAAAGGTGACACATAAGCTGATGCTTGAAGCATGAAAAGATGCCAGACACATGAGGAACAGGGGAAAGGGTGTTCCAGGCAGAAAGAACATTATCTGCAAAGGCCCTGAGGCAAGAACAGAGCTTGCAGTGTACGAGGAACTGACAGAAGAGTAGCAAAGATGGAACTGAGTAAGGAAGGGGAACGTGGAAGGGGTTAGGGATGGAGAAGCCAACAGGGACCAGATCAACAGAGCAGAGTAGCCCATAGGAAGGAAACTAGATTTTATTCTCGATGCCTATAAGGCTGCAACAGCCAGTTTTAAGCAAAAGGGTACCACAAAAGCCAATATACTCATTCAACAAGTATTTACTGAGCACTTAGGATTCACTAGACCCTGAGCCAGGTGTTGGGAGGTCCAATCGCAAACAAACACGGCCTCTGTGCCTACAGAACACCTACATCAGAGTTGTAAATAAGATTAGAATTACCGGGCAGCGCCTGTGGTGCAATGAGTAGGGCACCAGCCCCATATACCGAGGGAGGTGGGTGGCGGGTTTGAACCCAACCCTGGCCAAACTGCAACAAAAAAATAGCCGGGCGTTGTGGCAGGCGCCTGTAGCCCCAGCTACTCAGGAGGCAAGAGAATCACCTAAGCTCAAGAGCTGGAGGTTGCTGTGAGCTGTGATGCCACAGCACTACCGAAGGCAACAAAGTGAGACTCTGTCTCTCTAAAAAAAAAAAGATTGGAATTACCAGATACATGAGCTCTCACACAGAGCCTGGCACACAGTGCACATTCAATAAATGTTAGTTTCTCCTACAGAGAACCTTCCCATGTAGTAGAACTGATACAACAAATAATATCAAGGCAAATGTTATATTTGCATTAAGAAAGATTCAATTGGGCCGTGCCTGTGACTGACTGGTAGGGCGCTGGCCCTATATACCTAGGGTGGCAGATTCGAACCCAGCCCCAGCCAAACTACAACAAAAAAATAGCCGGACGTTGTGGCAGGTGCCTGTAATCCCAGCTACCCTAATACCCTTGGGAGGCTGAGGCAAGAGATTCGCCTAAGCCCAGGAGTTGGGAGGTTGCTGTGAGCTGTGACGACACAGCACTCTACCAAGGGCGATAAAGTGAGACTCTGTCTCTAAAAAAAAAAAAGAAAAGAAAGATTCAATCAGGGCTGGGTTCAGTGGCTCACACCTATAATCCCAGCACTATGGGAGGCCAAGGCAGAGTCTCTTGAGCTCAGTAGTAGTTCAGGACTAGCTTAAGAAAGAGTAAGACCCAGTCTCAACTAAAAACAGAAAAACTAGCCAGATGATGTTGTGTGAACCTGTAGTCCCAGCTACTCAGGAAGGTAAAGCAGGAGACTCTCTTAAACCCAGGAGTCTGAGGTTGCTGTGAGCTAGGCTGATAACAGGGTGCTCTAGCCTGAGTGACAGAGTAAGACTGTCTCAAAAAAAAAAAAAAAAGAAAGAAAAGAAAAAGAAAGGAAGGAAGAGAAAGAGAGCAAGAGAGAAAGAAAGATGCAAGCAACATCATGAGGTTGAAAAAAAGGAAGGAATGCTTTTGGATTAAGGGTTATGGAGAAGAAGCAATTAGGAACACTTAAGGGAAGGCATGCACTTTGGGAGGCAGAAGCAAATGGACTACCTGAGCCCAGGAGCCTAGTTAATGCAGCAAGACCCTGTTTCTACAAAAAATT